TGTTGGCTGACTTAGGATAGGTGCTTGATAGATGTTAAGCTCTTGACCACAAGGACTCAGGTTGTAAATTCCAACAGTTTTGAAAGTCTTTTCTCTTAGATTTCTGCTCCAATCTTCCGGTTTCCAACCAGCAGCACACTCAAGGTAATGGAATTGGTAAGGTATGTTTGGAAATGACTGAGTTCAACACTCCCTCACCTTAGTTAGCACTTGGGAAGACCTTTTTCTTAATCTGTCCCAATTTATAAAGAAGGAATGGAAATAGCACTGTTGGGAGCCTTAACGAAGTATTACAGATTTCAATGAAATATAAAATGCTAAGAACCATGCCTTATGCAATGTTAGTTCAATAAATGCTTATTCAAACCCAAGCAGCACCCTCTTCCCTTAACGTTTGTAGTAAGTCCATAACTCAAGGCAATTATCAACAGAAAGAAAAGAAGGAAAGAGAAGGAAAAACAGAGAAAAAAGAAATAATGAAAAAATACGAAAATCCGGCCACCAGGTCCCGGGGCCAAGTGCTATAGTCCAGGGTCACCTGAAGCCCCAAACTTGCGCCTGAGTGGTCTCTCCCCGTCCTGCCTGCGGCACGTGGCCGACTCAGGCGGGAGCTTCGCGGCACTGGGGGGAAGGGAGCAGCGTGGGACGACGCCGAGGGGGTCTAGACCGCCAAGGCTACGGTTGAGCAGGCGCCGACTGCGCAGGCTCAGGATAGACGCAACCACTATGCGAGGATTCGAGGGTGAGGACGTTAACCAGGTTCTACGCTCTTTCTCTCTGCTAGCGGAGAAGCTTGGGCCTTCTTTCCTTTTTTTCAAGACTATATACGGTACCATCCTCCGCAAGTTATTCATCACTAGCAGGACACTTGTCCCAAACCGGAAGCGGCCTCCTTGACCAGCTGTGCCTCTTCCCTCCCCCGTGAAGGCCACAGTGGATGCGTCCCGCCTTCCCCCGGCCTCCGGAGGTGGTTTGGCGGCCCCCTCCCCCTCCCCAGTGTCGCGAGTTGGCGCCGCTGCCACCCCCAGCTCCGTGCTCTTGGCCCCTGGGCCGGGCGGTACCGAACCCTCCGGCGTCCCCTCTTGCCCTCCTTCCGACCTGCCTTTCCCTGTGGGACTGTCACCCCTCTCCGCCCCTCAGCCCTTGTGTCTCTCCGCCGAGCCGCGGCGGCAGCAGTAAAGGAGGAGGAGCCGGAGCCGGGAGGCGGCGGTGGCCGGCGGGTCCATGGCGTACAGTCAAGGAGGCGGCAAGAAGAAAGTCTGCTACTATTACGATGGTGAGAGAGCCGCCGAGCGGCAGAAGGGACGGCAAGACTGCGGCCCAGGCCTGGAGCTGCTCGGGGCGCGCGGCCGTCGTCGCGAGTGGGCGCGGGTGGTGAGGGGTGGGAAGGAGGAGGGACCGACGCCTGGACGCATCTTAACCCGTTCCCGGCCCGACGTTGTGGGTGGGAGACGCGAATTCCCCGGGCGACCCACTTGCCTCCTGCCTGTCCCTCCGGCCTTGCGACCCCGGGCCGGCCTAGTCTGGCTTCGTGGAAGTGGGAAGGGGCGCCCCGCCCCTGCGGTTGTCGCGCCCGCCGCCTGGGCCAGCGCAGGTTTAGGGGCGTCCGGTCCCAGCCTCCTGTACCCGGCCTTTTCTGCTGAATCAAAATTTGAGCTTGGCCCAGACTACACAAAGCCTCGCGGCCTCGAGAGCTCCGCCCCTCTGGCCCTCTCCCCCAACCCCTTCCCGGCTCCTCTGCTCCCTTCTCCCCTGCTCCCAGTCTGTCTGCACGAGCGTCTGTCCTTTCTCTCTGCTCGCAGCCGCATCCCGGACCCCTCGACCCGGGTCGCTGGTGCAGGGTAGTTTGAGCATCCCCGCGCCCCCGCTCCCCGGGTTCGGCGAGTGGCGCCCTCACGCTCGTGTTCTGCGTGGGCTCCATCCCTCCCCTTTGTTCGCCGGGTTCTTTGAGCGCCACTTTCTCAGATTCAAATGGAAGGGCTGCGCTTCCTGAGTAACAATTAGGGTTTTGGAGTTCGAGGTAAGTAGTCGTTAAGGAAAGTAAAAGGAGGTGGTAGGGAAACGTGGAACTGTTAGTGCCTGCGTTGTAGATCAGACTCGATGAGTCCTGGCTTGCCTCTGGGACGTGGTTGCCACCCACGTCTTTGTTGCTCTTTGTTCGATTAGGAAATATACGCCCTGCTCTGGGGGTGTAGAAGAGCATTGGCATTTTGCTTGTCAAGGCTGTTTGTAGGTGGTGGGAGTCTTAGTATAAGAAAACCTTAAGAAGTAGTGCACAAAGACCAAGTAGGTAATCAGGTAAGTTTGAGGTCACAGTGCAGTGAGTTATAAAAAGTAATTTTAAGGGATCTCGAACTTGAGTGTAAGCAGTAACATTAGATCTCTGAATCCTGTTTCCTGTGCCAGTCTTATATTAAATGGAGTACTATCCTGTTTCACAGATTCCACAGACTTTGGTAGATAATCTTGAGAGATGGAATAGAAAATTTAACAAAGAAGCTAGTCTCGGTCACCTGAAAGTCCTATCAGATTTGTACAAGGCAGTGCAAATTGTGGAGCTGCTTCCTACATTTAGTGTACTAAAGTTACGTTGTAGGTCAGAATGAACCTGACTTTAACTTGAAAATGGCCATACCATCTCTTCATTTGGCAAAGATTAATCTTTTAATGCCTGTTTTAAATAGCCACCTGTGTCATTTGCTGGAAAAAGCTAAAATCTTAGAGAAAACTAAGACGAAATGGAAAAAGTCCTTTTTAATATTTTTGAGAGGACCACACCTGTTACGTAAATGGGTTTGACATTATACCATCATAGAGAGGTGGAGATGGGAGCACCTTTTAATTTTAACATGAATTACATTGCATATTTTGGGCTAATGGCAAAGTCTTGTCCTGAATTCACTGATGGAGATGGAAAGGAAATAAACTTGTTAGTGTTTTAAAAAATTATATTTTTTCTAAAATAAACATTTATTCTTCTATAGATGTGTAAAGGATGTAAAGGGAAGAGGCTTAATTAATGGTTTGGGAAAACTGGTGCTGGACTTTTCTTGGAACTATCAGTTAATGTTGACAGTGATAGGCTCAGATGGGGTAAGCTGCTTATAACTTGTTATCACAAGGCTTAGACTGTGGAACGAGGAGGTGCACTTTTGTAGCAGTTTTCTGAGCAGGTATTTGTTCCTTGGCCCCCTTTGTTGAGGAAGGGACAGGCACTGTTTCCAGGGATAGGATACAGGTTTGACTGGTAAAGTGGAGATACTTTAAAAAGTCTTGTGATTATGGCTTAATACTTTAGCCCATGCAACTGCTTTACCTGATAGTTACCAACCAGATACATAACTGACAGTTTGGAAATCTGGTGGGTTATGTCTCTTACTTGTAGCTCTTACTTGATTTGTTTTTAGAGTGGACTTTCTGGTTGCTTACATTCTGAATATTCTTTGAGGGGTTTGGGGGGAGGTGTAGGGAGGTAATAAAGTTTCAGAAACTATTAAATTGGATAGTTAAAATTATGCTAATTGATATGTAATTGCATACTAAGCTCTGCACAAATAATACCCAAAATTTTTATCTTCATTACCAAAAACCCTACTTTGCCAAGCTTGGTGTCATAATTCCAACACTTGAAAGCTGAGGCAGGAGGCTCTCCAATGCCAAGGTCAGCCTTGGGCTATATAGTTCTAGTCCAGCCTGGGCTACATAGCCAGACCCTGTCTCAAAGAAAACAACTTTGTCAGTTTATGAAAGTAGTAATACGGGTGTGGCTCAAGTGGTAAAGGACCTGCCTAGAAAGCATAAGACCCTGAGCTCAAACCCCAACACTGCAAAAATAAAAGTAAAAATAAAAGTAGCAGCCAGGCACTAGTGAGTTAGACCTACTTGAGAGGCTGAGATGGGAAGTATTGGGATTCCAGGCCAGCCTGGGCAAATGGTTCTTGAGACCCCATCTCCAAAGTAACCAGAGCAAAATGGACTTGGAAGTGTGGCTCAAGTGGAGCTCCTCCTTTGCAAGTGCAATGTCCTGAGTTCAAACTCCAGTTCAGCCAAATAAAACAAAAGTAGCAGTAGTTTTTCTTTTTTTAATTATGAAAAGAGGATGCGAGTAAAGTAGCTTCTGGTACTAAAGAACTAGATGACTTTCATGTATACAGAGTGTTTGGGTTGGGAGTGGGTAGTATCAGTAGTAATAGGTCCTGAAAAATCTAACCTAAATTAGCTGGTATTAACTTGTTGACAATAGAAGTAAAAGAAAGGAGTAAAGTAGTGAATTCTATAACCATTAGGTGTCCTGGCTTTCTGCTTACCAGGGTCATAGGCACACTCTGAGCCTCTTGCAATTCAGAATGCTTATCACAAGCTGGATGCCAGTGGCTCACGCCTATAACCCTAGCTACTCAGGAGGCAGAGATCAGAAGGATCACGGTTCGAAGCCAACCCAGGCAAATAGTTCATGAGCCCCTATCTTGAAAAAACCCATCACAAAAAAGGGCTGGTGGAGTGGCTCATGGTGCAGGCCCTGAGTTCAAGTCCCAGTACCGCAAAAAAAAAAAAAAGAATGCATATCATTGAGGTTGTGTGCTGCTTTCTCAAAGAAAGGTACTTCTAAAGATACAAGTATTTTTCTTTGTATGGGTTATAATCTTCAGAATTGTATACTTTAGATCACTGTAATGCTGGTCCCAAGTGAACCTTCAGGCATCCATGCCTGTGCCTTCAAAGTTTCCAAACACATATTTCTAAATCTTGATAATTCTTTTATATACATACAGCTAATTACAGTCACTAAGATCCCCTCTGACCCTAAAATGATGTGGTTTTCCTCTACTCAAATGTAATTAGCAAACTAAGCTGGCTCTGTCTAATTGCAATGCTTTTTAGAAATGTTAAGTATACATTGTTTTGAATTAAGCTTGGGGGGTCTAGGATTATAATGCAATATAAGAGTTCAATTGCTCTGTGCTCTTTTTTTCTTCCTCTGATAGGGTTGCATAATGAAAAGGTTTGGAGACAAGTGGCCCCTAGAAAATCACTTAGCACTGTACAAAGATAGAATTTAACAGTTACCAAATCATGCCTCCTAGTGTTTTCCTAATTTACTTAACAGATACAGGACTTGTACTCAGCAGCTGATTGTTGTCAGATTTTTTATATTTTTATTTAAAACAGTGGTGCCAGTGTCTTTTGTTAGATAGCCTTACTACAGCCGCATGTATTCTTAGCTGTGGTATAAATCCTTACTATCCATAAAATGCATAGTTATTCTTTGGGACATACCAGTGCTGAAGGAATTACAGTAACAGTTCAGGAATACTAATGATACTGTTTATACATAGTAGAACTTATATTTTAAATAAGACAGATGTCCTGTGCTTGAATCCTTGTTTCTTCCAGAATTCCTTTACCACTCATTTCATACTTCACCTTGTCAGAGATTTGTTGCTATTACCTTGATCGCTAATTACTGCTTTATTTTTTTTATCACTTCTATGAATTAAGTTTTATCTCCACCATCTGAACTTGAACTTTGAGTTCTTGATAAATAAATGATTAATTCCTTATGGATTTACAGATAGAGCACTTCCACAGAACACTTTTTTTTTTGTAGTACTGGGATTTGAACTCAGAGCCTCACACTAGTTAGGCAGGTGTTCTACCACTTGAGCTACTCTGCCAGCCACTTTTTTTGTGTGTTGGGCTGGGGTCTGGCAAATTATCTGCCTGGACTGGCTTTCAACTGATAGCCTCTTTATTATCTCTGCCTCCTGACTAGCTAGAATTACAGGCATGAGCCATAATTCTTACAGCTACTTTTGAGACACAGGCAGGTAGGATAGATGTGATTTTGTCTGTTTTATAGATGAAGACAGATTTGTATTTCCTCAGTCAACCAAATTCCTTTTCCACATTCTCTTAGTTGTCCAATGAGAGATGAACACCTGGAATGTAAAGATTCCCCCCCACACACCTTGTTTATAGAGTTTCTGCTACCAGAAACAAATAAATAAATAAAAATAGTATTAAGTTATTATTTCTTTTCCTTAACAAAAGCTTTAAATGTTGACAAATCCTTAAAACAGTTGGAATTGGGGAAAGGAAGGTATGATTTCTTAAGAGAATGTTAACAAAGGGAAATGCAGGTATCATCAGATTTAAAGTCCCAGTCTAAGGGTGTTATTTGTATTGATTAGTAAGTCTTATCCTCAATTTCAGTAGCTTATACTTGTTCATGAATTCAGCTTTGGGCTCAGAAATACCAAATATATGTTAAAGTCATGTGTGCCAGGTAGACAAAAAAGATTATCTCTTAAGAGAACAAGAGGGCTGTAGGGATTATAGCTCAGTGGTAGAGAACTTGCCTACTTGCCTAGCATTTGCAAAGCCCTGGGGTTGATCCCCAGACCTGGAAAGGGAGAAAAAAGGATCTTTGATAAGAGAATCAATCAGACAATAGAAGGGCCTGAAGAAAGAGAATGGGCCAGTTTTAAAAGTTTCCATCATAATGACATTGCAAACTGCAAAGGCCAAGTAGTTAGAACTTGGCATGCCAAAGAGAAAGCCAGCCAAGAGGAAGACATGAGGGACCCATGGGATGCTCAGCTAGGCAGTAAAAGACCAGATCACATGAGGCTTTGTGTTAAGAGATTTTGAATTTATTCAGGGATTGGAAAGCTAGTGAATGTTCTGGTTTTGTTATTTTTTTTTCTTTTTAAGTAGAGGCCATTCTCATAAAAGAATTGTAAGTAATAGAATGTAGGCTGAAAGCATGAATTAAATGTGCACAGGTCTACATAGAATGAAATGGTTGTGTTTTAGATGGAAATGGACATATTTGGGGGAATAAAGGAGAATAATGGAGGGGGGTGAATTCAGCTATGATATATTGTAAGAACTTTTGAAAACGTCACAGTGTACCCCTAATACAACAATAATATAATTTTTAAAAAGAAATGAACATATTTGAGAGAGGTTTGTAGAAAACCAACAGAACATTGATGAATGAAGTTGGAGGTGAGGAATGGTGGTAAACAATAAAAGATGGCTCCTACATTTCTGAATTGAGCAGTCAGGTGGGTCTTAGTACCACTCGTAGAGATGGTAAAGACTAATCAAAGGCTCTGTTATTGCCGTCTTATATTTGAGATCTTTATTTAGTTCAAATGAAAATACTGAGAAGAGTTACCTCTTCTGGAACCCAGCAAGGAGAGGCCTACCTATAGCTGGTAAAATATTGAAGCTTTAAAAATATAGGCAAAAGGACCTAGGACTCATTCTTGAGAGATGATTTAGGGCAGAACTCTTTATTCGCTGATGTACTCAGGTATCTAGAACAGTGCTTAACTTGCAAAGTAATAGGCTCTTAATTTGTTTTCTCAGGTTGAAAAAACACTGATATTTAAAGGTTGGCAGAAGAATGGGCATGAGGTATTAGGAAAATCCAGGAGAAAATGGTATTATGGGATGTAATGAGGAAGGACCAATTACGTTAAAACCTGCTAGCTGATTAAAATTTTATCTGTGGCAGACAAAAATAACACAGTAACTTTTTCATACTTTTTTTTGTTTTTCCCTGAATCTTTTTTTAGTTAGTTTAACTTTGAGGGTAAAAGTTTATTTCATAGTCCTAAAATCTAAAATGATCAGAAAATTGTAAGGGTTTTTTTTTTTTTAATAACTCACTTGGAATCAAGAGCTTAACCAGAATTAGCAATACAATGCTATTTATGTTTGTTTGTTTATTGCAGTACTGTGGTTTGAACTCTGGGCCTACACCTTGAGCCAGTCCACCATCCCTTTTTTGTGATGGGTTTTTTTGAGATAGGGTTTGGCATGCTAGTTGCTGGAGCTGCCTCCTGAGTAGCTAGGATTGCAGGCATGAGCCACTGTTGCCTAATTTATTTATGGTCTTTATTCCACTTATTGTGAATATTTACATATTTTTTGTGTTTAGAATTCTGCCAAGGCTTTAGTATATTAATACAGCAGATTGTACCATATTACCTTTAACAAAATCTGAGTAAGTCTGAAATTTGAAATGTATCTAGTTTCCAGAATTTAAGATAAGCAGGGTGTGGTGGCTCAAGCCTAATTGTAGTTATTTGGGAGGCTGAGAATGGGAGAATCACAGCTCAAGGACAGCCCAGGCCAAAAAAAATAAATTCATGAGATCCCCATCTCTGGAAAAAGTTGGGTGTGGTGGTCCGTGCCTGTCATCCCAGCTACAGCAAGGAAGCATAAAATCATGATATAGGCCAGACTAGGCAAAAAGCAAGATCGTATCTCAAAAATAACCAGAGCATACAGGGTTGGAGCTGTGGCTTCATGCGTTAGAGTTCCTGCCTCATAAGCACAAATCCCTGAGTTCAAACCTCAGTACTGCCAAAAATTTTTTTAAAAGAGGAACTTCAAATAAGAGATTGTGGACTTTAGTAACCAGTTTCATACAATTCTGATCACTTCTTGAACAGTGATCAGTTTTTAAAGTTGCAGATAAATTATTCTAAGTGGTAATTTCTTTGCATTAGCAAGAAAAGGAAGGTTGTGTTTTAAGTATTTTGATGGAAATAGGATAACATTTAAAATGCTGAAACTAGATAGCTGGCCATTTAAATGAAATGAATGAAAACTATAGGTTCATCAAACTAGGAGACATTTTGTCTTTATTAACAGGTAGATGTCTACAAAGCAGTCATCTAGAGGACTGACATTAAGCAGGAAAAAGTTAGAAGCAGTTCTTTTGTAACTTTCTTTCATTTGGAGGAATTCCTGATAAAATAATCTGTAATTTGGCTGCCCTTGTAGACATGTGTCATTTGGGCTGTACACATATTCTTTGTAGAACTAGGGTCTCAAAATATGGCAGAGAAAGCTATGTACAGTAATATAAATTTAAGGACCCTGTAACAATTAAGTTACTTTGATAGATTAGAATAGGTAACTGCTTCCCTTAATTTTCTTTAAATTAACAAAGACCCTCAGTTTTAGTTAAAAATATGTATATTCCATATTATGTCATTTTTGCCTTGCTCCTACTGTTTCTTGTGACTATAAGTGCCATTCTGCTAGTGACTACTCCTTAATAATTGACTGTGAGCTGTCATTTCTGGGATATAATGTAGCTCCTCTAGTTCCTAGTTGTATGACTGATGATTTTACTTGACTTGTCTATATCTCCTGCTTCTTCACAATTATAAAATAGGAATATTGGTAACAATACCTGCATCACTGAATTGTTAAAAAAATTAGAAAGATAATGCATGTGAAGTGCTTAGAGTAGCGTCTTCTCTACTCAGTAAATCTTAATTGCCCCTATATATTTTCTTATAAGACACTGAGAAATTGTCATTATCTTTTCCTTTCCATTGGATTCTTAGTATGCCTATTAACCAAAATAATTTGGTTTTAAGATGTAGATGTTAGAGGTATTTCTTCTTGTTAATACACAGAAGCAAATGAAAGTTATGTGAAGACTGGATGTTCTTCTTACTGTATTCTGTTTGTAGTGATGATAGCTTAGAAATATCTTCCTTGCCTTAATTTAAGTACTTGGTGCTTTGTAACCTTAATTGATTACCTGATGAGACTAGGCTGCTTTCAAGAAACTAGTTGTACTGCCACCATGTAGGGCAGAGCTTTATGGCAAATCCTTGGTGTAGGTAGTTTGTGTCTTGCCTTAGTAGCCAAATGCAGACTAATGCTGCATAGTACCCATAGCCCTGCTTTGTGACTTGTCTGTATTGTTTCTTAGTGTCATTGTTGGCACCTGTGTTGAAAAGGTTGCTCTTCCTTTTAAGCAGCTTGTGTCTGTCTGTGTGTGTGTGTTTAAATTGTTTTTAAACAAGAGCTTGGGTTGCAAAAATAAAATTAAATAAATCAGAGGTATTAGTCATAATATTAGAAGCATGAATTTTTATAATGGTGGATATTCACTCAGGATGGAGGTAGAGGCATGAGGATCTTGAGTTTGAGGTAGGCCTGTGCTACACAGTGAGACCCTCAAGAAAAAGTGAATGTTCATCCTGAACTATTGTCAAGTAGATAGAGAGTATAAAAGTTCTTAGATTTTTGTTTTTGTTTTCCATTAAATAAACAAACACAAAAAAGTGTGTATTTAAGGAAGACTTTGAAAGATTTATTATCTCAAAAGTGGGTAATGACATTTTTTATCCTAGCTTGTATTGTATAAACCTGTGTTGAAACAATAGATTTCCAAAAATTAAAAGTAGCTTAGCTGTCCTAACTTTTGTGTGTTGTGGGGGGGACTCAGATTCAGCGCCTCATGCATCTAACAAAATTTTTTAATTGTTAAAACATTGTAAGCATTGCTAAAAATGATCTTTAACTTTATAAAGGCTGTTGTAAAAACTGCACCGTACATAAGAAGAATAACTTATATTTAAGAGTTCTTGCTGGCCCTTTCTATGATAAGTATAGCATGTTACCTGGAAGTATTAATTTTACGAAATTTGATGAAAATCTGATTTCACTATTATTTGCTTATTTTACACACAATTTTTTAAGACATTGGGTCATAAGATGTTATTTTAAAAGAAAAGTTAGGAACTATAACTGTTTAGTCACAAGAAATGAGAACATAAATACCTTAAAGAATGTCATGAATACATTTTAGCATAGCAGAACTTACTTTAGAACCTAAGTTTCAGTTACCAAAACTTCTGATAGACTATGATGGGCATACAAGAATTTAACCCTCATAATACCAACTATGAAGAATTTCTGAGGTGTCAGTAAATATCTAAGAAGCAATGTTTGCCAGAAAAAAATTTAAAAAAAAATTTTTTAATCACATGAAAGCATCTGAATTTGCAAGAATATACTAAAGTATCACTTTAGGGAACAAAAACTTTAAAAAAGGAAACAAAAAGTTAGTACAACTTTCCTTGATCTACAAATAGTAATGGAGTCGTTAGCATGTAAAAGGTGCATGATAGCTTGATTTTCTAATACAGTTTGAAAATTGCAAAAATAATTCTAAAATCACTAAGATTTTTAATCTTACTTAAGCAATAAATGCCTTTTAAGGTTGAACATACTTGGATTTGAATAGTTCTGTGGTCTGTATTGTTTACTTTGTATCTTTATTTTAGGTGATATTGGAAATTATTATTATGGACAAGGTCATCCCATGAAACCTCATAGAATCCGGATGACTCATAACTTGCTGTTGAATTATGGTTTATACAGAAAAATGGAGATATATGTGAGTATACCTTTTGGTAAATATTTAGCACTAATTTTTTTTTAAACTAGTACTTTGAAATTTCATTATTCCCCTCTTTTCATCCTGTTCCTTTAGTCATTTTATACGCAGTTCCTCCTATCTGTAGCTGCCCTGTTTCTGGAGAACAACTTCATCCAGCATATCAACTGTTTTTGTTAAAATAATTGTTGAGTGCCTATGCTGATAAAAAGGGTTGACCTGGGACTGTTACAAAGGAATTGTGTAGAAAATTAACCTTACAAGTATTTATTGGTAATACAATACATGAAACTTTTTTTTTTTTTTTTTTTGCAGTACTGGAGCTTGAACTCAGGGCCTACACCTTGAGCCACTCCACCAGCTCTTTTTTGTGAAGGGCTTTTTCAAGATAGGGTCTCACAAATTGAACCCCAATCCTCCTCATCTCTGCCCTCCTGAGTAGCTAGGATTACAGGCAGACTGCAGATATCTTAAGATATAACAGCTACCTTAGAGTTTTTGTGGATAAAGCAAGGAGGTATATGTAAACAAATATAAGACGCAACAGTACTTATTTATTGCATGAGAAAAGAAAGACTTGAAGCAGTTGACAATATTAGACAATGTTACATGAATTATTTTCTTGTACATATAGATATTTTTGATAGGAAGATTTTGATAAGAATTAACTCTGGATGAAGTTACTCTTCATCCAAATGTGGATGAAGTGTATCATATGAAATGGAGCTCTTCAAAAGAAGCAAATTAGAATAAGCAAAGAAAAAGGTGGATCGTAAGAATGAGTTCTTTTTTTTAAATTTTATTTATTTTCTTTTATTCATATGTGCATACAATGTTTGGGTCATTTCTCCCCCCTTCCCCCCACGCCCTCCTTTACCCCCCCTACCCCCTCTCTCTCCCCCCCTTACCCCCTCACTACCAGGCAGAAACTATTTTGCCCTTATCTCTAGTTTTGTTGGAGAATATAAGCAATAATAGGAAGGACCAAGGGTTTTTGCTAGTTTAGATATACAGGGAGTTGACTCACATTGCTTTCCTGTACATGTGTGTTGCCTTCTAAATTAATTCTTCTCGGACTAACCTTTTGTCTAGTTCCTGGTTCCCTTCTCCTGTTGGCCTCTGTTGCTTTAAAGTATCTGCATTAGTTTCTCTGCATTGAGGGCAACAAATGCCATCTAGTTTTTTAGGTGTCTTACCTGTCCTCATATCTTCCTTGTGTGCTCTCGCTTTATCATGTGATCAAAGTCCAATCCCCTTATTGTGTTGGTCACTGAATTTAGTGGATATACAGCAGAAAGTTTATGTTGAAAAATGAGTTTATTAACATGAATTTGATTTTATATGGGTTGAGCTGTTTCCACTAAAATATAAGAAGCAGCTAATCACTAGTTGGTTATGCCAGTCTGTATTCATTAATATTTCCTAAAACAGCCATGTGTGAATTTGGGTTAGCTTTGAAATTCATTTTATTTGGTGGACCTCATTCTTTTGAAGGGACTATTAAGGGAAATTGTATATTCTGTGTGATAATTCTTTTGTAACAACTAATTACAGTCTGATTTTTCTTTACAGAGACCCCATAAAGCCACTGCTGAAGAAATGACAAAATATCACAGTGATGAGTATATCAAATTTCTACGGTCAATAAGACCAGATAACATGTCTGAGTATAGTAAGCAGATGCAGAGATGTACGTTGTAAAAAGTATATCTTAATATTGATGAATGTAAATGAGCATTTTTCGAGGTTTATAATTAGTTATGCAAATTGATAGTTAAATGTTAATGTAATTATTGATTCAAAAAGTTAATATAACAATTTTGAAGCTGCTTTAAAAAAAATCTATCTGAATGGCAGGTTGGATGGTTTTTTTAAAATTTTGCTTCAGTGATAACTTTGGGATAATGAATATTGGTAGGGAAATCTTGCTGTGTTGCTTCAAAAAAAAAATTATATTTTAAGTACTCTTACCCTGATACATACCTTTCACCTTCTATTTGTGTGCTTTAGTTGACCTGTACTTGTACTGTAATACATACAGTGTTTCCCCTTTGTTGAGATGATAATGAAATATTTTATTCTCTACATAGTTTTTTCTTTTTTAAGTTAAAAGCATCTTATTAGAGATGGGAAGAGTGGATTGAAGGTAGAATGCAGAATATCCTAAAATAATTGGAACAGTCTTTTTTAAAACTTGATGCTAGAATCCATTCACATCAGTGAGAGATGGACTTTTTATTGATTAACTTAGTGATGATTGTATTATTAAATTTAGTGTAGTTGCTATATTTCTCACAAATTACTAGGACTTCATTCGTACACATTTCCACCATAGCTTATCTTACTTGGTTCAAGGATGCTACAATTAGAACAAGTATTATTTATCCATGATTTTTTTAGTGGGGATTCAGATTTACACGCATGGGTAGCCCTTGTGCAAATAAATTAACAGTACTGATTTTAAAACTGCATATAAACTGGGCATAGCTGTAATCCCAGCTACACAGGCCCTATGCAAAAGCACAAGACCCTATCTGAAAAATGACTAAAGCATAAAAGGCTCAGTGTGTGGCTTAAGTGGTAGAGCAGCTGCCTAGCAAGCATGGCCCTACTCCTGGGGAAGAAAAACAAACCATAATACTGAGTTATATTAAGTTACGGTCATATCTGAATAGTGAGAAACTAAGGTTTATTCTTAATAGTGCTTGTAACTTACAGGTTTACATGGCTATATAAAGCACTGAAGAGGTTATAATTTGGACTATGGGGAGTAACTGAGAATGATACATCTAGTATATGCTTTCATTGTCTCAGTATTGAGAAAGTAACCACATCATGATGTGTCGTGTGTCTGTATGTAGATATACTTACCTAAGTATCTTTTCCTTCTGTATTTTTGCTCCCATGAGCTTAGTTAATTTTTACCATCTTTCAAGATCAAGGTTAACTATGGACATAGCCAACAGCTTTTAAGTCATAAGTGGGATGCTATGTGTAGCTAAGGCGTTTTAAAGTTAGGAAATGGGAGTTAGCTTAATTTTTAAAATCTTGATTACTTTATTGTATATGGAAGAAGAAATGTCCAGAAAACTTGTTTTTTTTTTTTCAAGATAGTTCTGGGGGTACTTTTTGGGTTTTAGTTCATTTTTCAGATAGGATCTTGCAGTAACTTTATCTGACCTCAAACCACAATCCTCCTACCTTTACCTCCCCAGTAGCTAGGGTCACAGGCATGTACCACCACACTCAGCCCTGATATATTTTGGATTATTATTATTATTATTATTACTATTATTTTGGTAGCAGTGGGGTTTGAATTCAGGGCCTTATTCTTGTTAGGCAAGTGTTCTTATTGCTCAAGCCACTCTGCAAGCCTCATGTTTTGGGGTTTTTCTGAGACAGTCTGTATGTAGCACAGGCTGATCTGGAACACTGTGTACTGGCCACAAATCTTCTGTCCACTTGCTTCAGCCATCTGAGTGCTGCAATTACAGGAATGTAATTCCAGCTAAACCTATGTTTTAATTAAACAAAAGCAAAGATTTTTTAAGCTTTGAAAGTTTTCTTCCCCTGCCCCCTTTTTTTTTTTTTTTTTTTTGTTTTTTGCTGGGGATTGAGCCAAGGGCCTTGTATTTGCTAGGTAAAATGTTCTACCACTTTAGCTATGCAGCCAGACATAGTCTATTGACTTTTTATTAATAGAGCAGAACTATTTCACAAACAATCCTGATAAGGTTCGGTGATGGCTTTTCACAGGTAGCACTTTAATTACCGTGAGTAAATACTGAATTACATTTTTAAATTGGAAATTTTTGATTTCTACTATAAAGTATATATTTTCAGATTACAACAAACAACAGGTTTTGTGGGAAATAGTTTTGTAAGGAAAAAAGCTTTCAATAATTTGCTTAATATATGGAGATTCATGAAATTCATTTTCCACAGTTAATGTTGGAGAAGATTGTCCAGTGTTTGATGGGCTTTTGAGTTTTGTCAGCTCTCCACTGGTGGCTCAGTTGGTAAGTATTTTAAATCAGTCAGGTTTAAAAGTTGATCTGAAGGGATCCTTTGGGTTATTTGTATAAAGCAGAAGTTTGGTTTAGTTTTGCTTTGCTTTGCTTTTTTTGTTTTGTTTTTTGAGACCGAGTGTCTTTGTACCCCAGCTGACCTCAAAGCCTCAAACTCATCATATTCCTGTCTCTACCTGTAAGTGCTGGGATTACAGGCATCTACCATCATGCCCTGCTTGATGGTAGTGAATTTTGATAGCAAAAAAATCCCAAAACACTGGTCATAGTATTGTGTTCTTGAGGCTTCCATTACTACAACAATATACCTGACATAATCATCTTATAAAGAAGACAAGTTTAAAGAACCCACAGTTTTGATTGATTGACCCTGTTGCTTTGGGCCTGTGGCAGTGCCTGATGGTGGGAAAGAAGAGAATGGGCCAGAATCTCAATATCCTCCTTTATGGTCATGAACCTTCAATGACCTAAACCCTCCCACTAGGCCTCATCTCTTACTTAAAGATTCCATCATCTCCCAATAGTGCCATTCCAGAGCCAAACTAGCAAGTATAATTGTCTTTAAACCCTGTGTTTATGATCATAATGGCTTAAACTTTTTTTATTAACTTTATATTTACAGTTAAAAGACTTTATCCTTCTACCTCCCATTGTTTCCTACCGCTTTCCTTGAGTACATTTCATCAGGTCACAGCTATAAAAAAATTCCTATCTAAGGAAAACTTCTAGCTATTAGAGTCAATGGTTAGACAGTATTACTGCTTACCTTTAATGACTTTGAACTCTTTTGCTTATCCATGACGTGCTTGGCTTTACTAATTTTTTAATGTTAAAAATTTTATAAGGTTGGGCACTGATGGCTAATGCCTGAAATCCTAGCTACTCAGGAGACAGAGATCAGGAGGATTGTGGTTCAAAGCCAGGCCAGGCAAATGGTTCACAAGACTCTATCTTGGAAAAACCCATCACAAAACAAAAGGACTAGTGGAGTGGCTCAAGGTTAGCCCTGAGTTCAAACCCCAGGATGCAAAACAAAACAAAACCAAAAAATTTATAAATGCCTTATGTTTCTACTTCTTAGCTGGGGCTGTAAAGTTAAACCGGCAGCAAACCGATATGGCTGTTAACTGGGCCGGAGGATTACATCATGCCAAGAAATCAGAAGCATCAGGATTCTGTTATGTTAATGATATTGTGCTTGCCATCCTTGAATTACTAAAGTAAGTTAACTTGCATTGACATGTTTCCTATGATAAAATGTTTTAATTAAAACATTTTAAAAACCTTTTAAAAACTATCAAGTTAAAGGTAATAGATTGAAATGTTATCTTCTTCTATGAATTCATTACAAGCCAGTGTTGAAATGCAAGAAATTTTGTCCAATCCTTGTTTAAGAGTGAGAAAAATGTGTGTAAATGTCTGAAACTACCATTATCCTTTGAAAAATGTTAGAAGTAGTTGACAAGTTAAATGAATTATAGTTTTAGCTAATAAAAATCATAGATATGACTTTGGAAGTTTATATGTCTCACTTGAGGACAAAAATTTAAAACCTTTTTTAAAGGAAATCTGTTTCCCTATTGAGTGAATCTAGATAACTGCCTAACTTCTACATTCAAATGGAGCCTTACTCTTTACTAACGGATATGAAATTATATCTCCGTTGCTGAAGGGTTTATATTTTTAAGTCATCCTGACTATAGTTTGAGATAGATGAAGGTACTTAGAAATTCACAGATTGCAAAGTTAGATTTTTTTTAACCATTATCAGTTGTAACATCTTAGCAGATTCTACTTCAGATTGTTCTTTTTTTTTTTCTCCCACACCACGTCTCCCCATTCACAACACATATTAGGCATAAGGGCTGGACTGAGCTGTATATGGGGGTACATTTACTTTGCCTCCTTTTTTCTATACAGTCAGTGTAAAAACTCATCCTGTGGTAAATACCAGGAAGCTTTCAGATTGTTCTGAATTCATTTTTTCTAAGCTTTAAAAAATGTTTCTGTTTATAGTTATTCCAAACACAGTATCCATAAAGGCTAATTTGTCACTTAAAAGTTGGTGTTGGCTTCTTAAACTGTAACTGACTAGGGTCTGTAACATCTTGTTGACATATCAAGGATCACGGAAGACCATTTGAAATTTGAAAACTGTTTTTAATTGTCTGTTAATGCTGGTTCCAGTGACTCAATTCTTTGAGCAAGTTCTTGGTGACTAGGCTATTAGACTTAAGCTTAATTTTACTGAATATATTTCCTCAGCAAGTAAAATCAAGTAAGATTTAAATATTTGCCTGAACAAACCACTTTCTTTGCTTGTCTAACACATGAACCACTTGGAAACTTAACTTTAACTTTAATCACAACTTCACTTTTACATTTTTAATTTTGTGAAGAAATTCTGCTATAATGAGAAATCTGAGTTTTCAATATTCTAGGTTTCTAAATGTTGCTTTCCAGTAAGTTGAGAATATTATGGGTGCCTATTCTGGCAGTGTCAGCTGGCATTGTATTCTTTTAGCACAGCTAGGATATCACTGGATAGTATCCACTGTTTTGCCATCTAATGGGATAACCAAATAATCCTCACGTCACTGTACTTTAAAAAGATGACATTTGAAGTGTATTTTGCCCTTTTCTTGCTTTGACGTGAGTATGAACTGGTAATAAAATACTATTTGGTATCTCCTAAAGTGCATGTGAGCTGTAACTGTATTGCTCCAATTTATAGTGTTCCAAGTATCATTGTGAAGTGCTGAGAGTACTACATGTGGTCTCTATCACAATTACTCAGCTCTGCAGTTGTAGAACGAAAGAAGCTGGAGACAGTATATAAACAAATGAGCAATGAGCATGGCCATGTTTTAATAGAACATTTTACAAGCATGGGTGTTTGAGTGATATATAACTGATATGTCACAAAATAATCTTGTTTTGACTTTATTTTTCAACCATTTAAAAATGCAAGCACTTAATAGCCCAAAGGTATAAAAAGACGGTCAGACTTGGTGTATAGGGCACAGCTTGTCAATCCCTGTTTTGTAACGTTGATGGTATGCTATAGAGGTGTCTTAGTTAATATAACACTCTTGAGTATGGTATAATCGTCTGTTGTAATATATTGAAACATAGGCAATTTTTAAAGCATACAGAACTGGATACGTTTCACAAAGAGAGTAAGCACATTTTCTCACCAACATTGGTTCCAAAGGGGAGATTTAAAGGTTTTAAGTTTAAAACTATAAGTTCAAATGCTTGAATGTTCTTTTAGGCTGATGTAAGAATGGGGTTGAGCATTCTGGAATGCATGAACTCAAAAATTTTCTGAATTCATGGTGGTTCTTCCCATCTTAGAACCTTTCTTAAAAAAACAAACTTACTTACGGCTTTGTTTTCAGGTATCATCAAAGGGTCTTATATATTGATATAGATATCCATCATGGTGATGGTGTTGAAGAAGCTTTTTATACAACAGATCGTGTAATGACTGTTTCATTCCACAAATATGGGGAATACTTTCCTGGCACAGGAGACTGAGGGTAAGATCAAATTCTGTCAAAATGAATATGAAATTAAAATTGCAAATTAGTAGTCTTGTACTTGAGCTAATATTTTTCATGAGCCACTAATTTGAAGTTTCAGTGCAGAATTAAAGGACTATAAGCCGTAACATCTGCTAGAATTCACTTTGTTGACTATAAGCAAAAATTTAATGAAGATTGCAAGGACTTTTTGGGGATTAGCTATATACTTTGGTTGAATACCTGTTTTTGAACATCCAAGGACCATGAAGTACTTTTTTTTGAAACTATCTATTAGTAGCCTACATTGGTATTGATGTAAAGATGAATGGGATAAAACAGGTCTTTATAGATGCTTTTGGTGCTCTTTTTAGGATTGTTCCTGACTTGATTTTTTTTTTAAGCCTTCTGGAATTTGCAGTGTATATCATTTGGAGAGAGAAAGAATAGCATACCTTAGTACTGCTTGTCTTTTACATTAAATGCATTTATTTCTATTATATATTTTTTACTTTTCCATTTGATGTTTTTGTTTTTTGAACCTCACTGCATGCATGTTGAAAAGAGTAGCCTTAAAATACTCTTCATATTCTTTTTCTTACCACAAGGTGGTACTCTTTCCTGGCATTGAATGTTCTAAACTGCTACAGTTATTTTTCCAACTATGGTTTGTCACTTTTTAGCAATCAAGAGTTTTTTTAAAGAGTAACCTTATGCTTCAAAAGTATTCCTTTTCTTTATTGTACCACAAGGTGGTACTCTTTCAGTAAATTCATACAGTAAGAGCTTTGATGTTAAAACATTTCCTAACTTTGTAATTTCTTACTTTTCTCACTTGGCCTTCCCTATAGGTTAGTGGTTCTCAAAGAATGATCCCTAAGTGAGCAAGGTCAGCAATACCTGAGAACCTGTCAGAAGTATACATTCTCAGATCCCAGAAACAGGGTGATTATGCCAAAGTTTTAGAAAATACTGGCTAAGCCTATAGAATATATTTTTACAACCCAGTAGAAATCAAGAAAAATCTCTTCTGGCTTTTAAGTTTGAAGAACAGCATAGTGTCTTTGTAGTATAACCTCAGAAGTGGCAAATGGCTGTCTCTTAACTTCTGAAAGTATATTGTCACCATGGTCTTTTCTCATTTATTATTTTTTTTTATTAAAGTTTTTGGAAAATATTAGAGAATGCATGTCTCAGAAGGACTTGAGAAATACTTGCAACGTATGGTTTTCTCATTTAAGGTTTTATAATCTTATATGAAATTTACATGAAAAGATTCTACAAATAACATTTGACTGTTTTAAATGTGTCACCAAAATTTTGTGAGAAAACTTAACCCAATCATTTCATTATATATGTAGCTATGTTTAGACTATCTGTGAAATTCATGTGTATCTTTGGTTATGGTTAAATGAACATTCCCTTTTCTGCCTGATAATTCATTCTAAAGCAGGAAAGAAGGCTACTCTGCATCCTGCTGATTGTTAAGACTGTTTGCTTTAAATACTCTAGGTGGAAGAAGGAAATGGAAGTGTAGTAAAACAGCAGTTGTGGGATAAGAATAGGGGTAAAGTTTGATTCAACAAGGGTAGCAGCTCTGAGTTGCCAGCTTTTAGTTAGGGTGAGAAGTGCTGACAAACTTTGTTATATATTGTAAAATCTAGGGGCCAAGTGTATTCTTTCTGTTTCAGCTATGCAGGAGACTAGGGATTTACAGTACTTCAGTTTATCCACATTTGTATAGTTAGTATTTAGTGCCACATCAAAATTTAAATTGCTTTAAGAAAGGAGGATGTGTGATTCTGTTTGCTTTCTCTCTATTAAAAAGTTGAGTCATTAAATCTAATATTGAAGATAAACTTTGCTTTTGTAAAAGTGGATCTATGCTGAGATCATTGTACGTATTTGGGAAGAACTTGAACAAAATGTTAGTATTCCTAAAGATTATACATCTTGAGATTTAATTTAAAACACATAAGAATTAGGTGCCTCTGATAATTCGGTGTTGCAGTTAAAACACTATCTGTAGAAATGTCTCCACTGTACTATCTCTGTTAAGTGTGTATATCTATACACACAGAAAGGTACATATGCAAACACACAGAAACATATACAAATAATTTTAAATATGTATTCATTTCAGTAAGATACAGTATATCTGGAGCCTAGCTCTTACTTGCTGTTCTTTGCATCTTTGGAGAGGTATTAATCTCTTGAGCAGTACTTAATAAATAGAAGCAAAACCATATTAAAAGAACAGATCTGATGCTTTAGTCTATATCTGTTAAAACCTGAAGAAAGTCTGGACCTTTCTTTCATCATAAGTAAGCCCATACCAGAATGTGAGCCCACAAAAAGGATCTTGCATTAGAGACAGTTGTACTTAAAGTGTATATTTTCCACAAGTTAACATTGTTTCCTCACCTTATATATAGTTTTGCTTGTGATGAATTTCTTGGGTTGATGTTAATGATGTAATTTAATACTACCTTTAACTATGTTAAATGTCTTTTCTCAAAAATTGTCACTCAATAATGAAGCCCGTTATTTTGTACAATTAATATAAACTAATAAAGCTTTAAAAATGCCATTGCAGATTAATTGGGAGTGGTTCTTTTAGTCTTTACAAGCAGTCTATAAGTATTGGAACATTTATTTACTTTTTCAATATGTATTGTTTCTATCTCAACTTTTAAGATACATTCAAACTTGGGTCTTGTTATTTGGTCTTTTAATCTTTTAAATATTTTAATTAATATGTCAAGCTTTTCATTATGAACTATTTTGTAAGCTCTGTTTATGTGTTTTAGGATATTGGTGCTGGAAAAGGCAAATACTATGCTGTCAATTTTCCGATGAGAGACGGTATAGATGATGAGTCATACGGACAAATATTTAAGCCTGTAAGTGTTACTTTCAGAATTGAAATGGAATTTTGAAATGTTACTAAATGTTAATAGTTGTTATTTTGTGTATAGATAATCTCAAAAGTGATGGAGATGTATCAGCCTAGTGCTGTGGTGTTACAATGTGGTGCTGACTCATTATCTGGCGATAGGCTTGGTTGCTTCAATCTAACAGTCAAAGGTAAGAAATTTAAAGGGTGATATTTCTCCCCCTCTCCCCAAATAGTTTAGCTTTCCAAGACCTTCCCATAAAAGTTCTCGTTGTAGGTTTTCATTTGCATTTTCACCAAACTCTGTGATTTGTAATTTTTTTCATGGATTTTTTTCTTTGTGTGTGTGTGTGTCTGCAGTTATAACCTTGTTTCAATTCATTTTTATTTTGTTGAATTATATGTGAACAGATTCATGAAGCTTGTTACTGTCCCAACTGCAATAACTAGTTTTGATCTTATTGATTCTTTTGGTTTTTACCTTTCTCCAGATAACATGCATACTTTTGTTATATAATTAGATTTTAAAATTTTTATCCTGATATATTTGTTTCCCATTATGGAAGAAGGGTTTTGCTCAGCTCACTACTTTGTTCCCAACATACATGCATGCTTTCCCTATCCATTTTTACATATCATGTGGCACTCATTGTTTGCAACAGCAGCAACATCTTTTTAGCTTACCCAGTTTTTCTTTCCTGCACAACCCGTTTTTGCTGAGTTTTTCATCTGCTTAGTTTTTTTCTTTACTCATTACTAAACTACCAGTGTCTAAATGGCTTCATATGTTCAGAAATGTCTAGTGTTCTGTCAGTTTTACCTCTTCCTGTTTGGACTGAATGTTCTCTATAGACCTGACAAGACATAGAGCTGTTTGTGTCTCTGAATCAAGTTGCCCTGATTGCTGTGCCTTCTAGCTTCCTCTTAATTTTTTCTGATATTCTGGTGGGTCACATTTCTCAGGTAGCTTTCTGAGAAAAGGTATGTGGGAAATGAGGAAAGATTCACCAGCTTCTTAAATTTTGATCAACTATTGAAGTCAACATATTTTTATTATTACTAAACCAAAGTCGTCATTATGGAATGAACTTCTAGGATATAAGGGTAAATCTGAGATTTTTATTCTTAAAATTTATATGTGAGTCACAAACAGTTTATCATACGTAATTTTTTTTCCATGCGAACTTTCTGATGATAGCAAGCTGACATCCAGCTTAGAATTTTCTTAATTCAATATAAAGAATTCTCAAATCGAACTTTTTCCAGAACTCTTGCTGGCTTAAGCAGAATTGAATAACTAAATACAGATATTAAAAGCTACTTTTATGTAATGTTACGATCTCTTCTGCACTGGCCATCACTAGAATTATTGTATAATCTATTACTCTCCTTTATATTAAGTTGAGTCACACAAAATTACTTGCCTCTTAGTAGTTCAACAGTATTTGAATCTAATTAATTAACTAATTAAATTTAATTGTTGAACTGAACTATCTGTTGCCTCAAAGGTTCCTAAAGTAACCAATTACAAGTATACACTCTCTCTCTTTCTTACTTTATTTATCTGTCTATCTATTTTGTCTTCTTACTGTGCTTTGGAATCAAGCCCAGGGCCTTGCACATGGCAGACAAACACTACCTCTGAGCTACAAGCCCACCCATTCCCTCTAGTGTACTCTTAAAATGTGTACTGATGTCAGTTTTCTCCTTTAACTCTGATAGTTTCTTTAGTATTTTGTACTTCAAAGTAATAATCTTCATAATAGTCTGCAGCTTTTTATGCTTACAATGTCTGCATTGTATTTCAATGAAATACAGTTATTCCAGGGTCTTTTTGGTGGTATTGGGGTTTGAACTCGGGCCACTTGATAGACACTCAGCCCTTTAGCTTTAATTGTTTTTTCACCCTTACATGAATACACCAACATTTCCAGGTCATGAAAAGTAATTTGAAAGAATTGCTGCATTCTTAACAATGCTTAAGAGAACCAGTGTTTTTGCCTGGGCAGGCCTGCTTTTCAGTCCTCTTGCGCAGGCCTCCTTAGGAGCAGGGATAAGATACTTAGCTTTTTTGTTGAGGTGGGGTTCTCGCTAACTTTTTGCCCCTGCTGGTCTCAAGCCACAGTCTTCCTGATCTCTGCCTCTTGAGTAGCTGGGAATCAGGCATGAACCATTGTGCTGGTTGCAGTTACAACTTTTAAAGTTGATTCTAAGTTTCTCTACTGCCAACTTTGATTTGGATGTCTCAGGTCTGTTAAAGTTAGTTAATTTTGTTCATCTGCCTTCCATTTTTAGTTAATCTTGCCATTTTGTTCTCCCATTCATTTTTAATTTTAGCCTTTAATCCCTTTATAGTTATTTTTGCCCTTTTCTTGGGATCAAGAAAAAGTAAATGTCTTTGCTTTGCCAGCTATCTTTACTTACTCTGTAGGCTAATTTTTTTGTATGTTTATTTTGTTTTTACAAATATCCAGGTAGTTTTTATCTATTCTAAGAAACCATGTTTTTCTAGTAGTAGTGGTGAAAAGTGAATTGTGAATCATAATGATGTACACGTGATGAAAATGCTCAGCCTGCAATTATATGAAGAGAACAGATAATTAAACTATAAATAACACTACCTTTAGATAATGGGGGTTTTAGGTGGGGGTTTTTTTGTTGTTTTTTTTAATTTGTACCTAATTTTTTCCTAGTATGCATGAATTATTTTATATTTGGGGGATTTCTTTTTTGATGATTGAGTTATGTGCCTGAATGATACTGTACCAAGAAGTTACTGGTAACTTACAAATGATTATTGAACTATGGCATTTAGAGGAAATATTTGGTTTTATATTAGGCTTATAGTAATAGGTAAGTTATGAAACTTGTCCATAATACCACTACCTAAAAATAATCCACCATTAAACTTTATGGTGTAGCCTTCCATAATTATTGTACACATGTCTGTATGGGAAGTGGAAACAAACAATTTACATAATGTGGTCTGTTTCATTATATGTGACCTGATTTTTTTTCCCACATGTAACCACCTCCTACAAACATCCTTTCATAATAAGAATGTGTATGTTCATATTTTAATCTTAATGTAATTGCATATTTGACTGTCCTATCAGATATTTACTATAATATCCAATTACATCTTATGTGTATCATTGGATGAAAAGTAATTAATAAGTTTCAAACTGGAAATTTCTTGAATTTTTAATCGCAGAAGCATTCAGAAAGCCCATTTTGGTTGAATAAAAGTTTCCTTGGCATTTTTTATTGTAGGGCATGCTAAATGTGTAGAAGTTGTAAAAACTTTTAACCTACCATTGCTGATGCTTGGGGGAGGTGGATACACAATCCGTAATGTTGCTCGATGTTGGACATATGAAACTGCAGTTGCCCTTGATTGTGAAATCCCCAATGGTAAGTGTTCATATTACAGTATATATATATATTATAAGAACAATGCATATGTAGAAATAGATTAATGAACAGTTAGATTCCAAAACTAAATAAGAATACATTCAGTTTGTATTCTTTTTAAAACATTTTCTTGAAATGTTTTCTTTATTTGAACTGATTCTCTATATGGATTTATATGGAAACTATGCTTTTAGTATGTAACTTTATTTCATTGTTTTTAATAGAATTGCCATATAATGACTACTTTGAATATTTTGGACCAGACTTCAAACTGCATATTAGTCCTTCAAATATGACAAACCAGAACACTCCAGAATATATGGAAAAGATCAAGTAAGAAATCATTGGATTATTCTGAACATTTCATCTGGACAAAGCTGTAGAGAGCTTTAGAAGACCAAATGGAGTGGGTTATTTTAGCTTTATACATCGGATGTTTCCTTTCATTCTCAAAGGGATTTTAAACCTTGAGATTACTGATTTCTTTGATTTACTAAATTAACACAGTTGTGTGAACTTCATAGGTCAAAAATACTTTCATTTATTAGTTAAAATGCATTTTTAAATTGCAAAGAGCACTCTTAGTGTTACCCTTCCTTTACATTATTGAGTGATTTATTTGTATTCTCCTGACATGTTTTGTTAATGCTCTATCTCTAAGTACACAGGTGTGGGTTAGTGTCCTTTCCTACCACAAACTAGCTGTATGATACTGAACAAGTTCACTTACCTACCTTTGTGTTTCCTCATTATTGAAATGAGGGAAGCCTTGTAAGTTGTGCAGATTAAATTAGTTAATATATATATGTAAAGTATTGATGCTTAGTAAATGTTTTCAAGCTAGATAAAAGATGAAATTTTGTGCTTAATGTTTTCATTTGCATATTAGGGGAACTTTAGGGGCTGGTGATGTAGCTTTCTGGTAGAACCCCTGCCTAGCTTGTTCAGGGCCCTGAGTTCAATTCTAGCACTGCAAAAAGAAAAGAAAAGAGCTTCAAAGAAACTGAATTTGGTCTAATAACTTTGCATGTGTAATTTAGACAGCGTTTATTTGAAAATTTGCGCATGTTACCTCATGCACCTGGTGTCCAAATGCAAGCTATTCCAGAAGATGCTATTCATGAAGACAGTGGAGATGAAGATGGAGAAGATCCAGACAAGAGAATTTCTAGTAAGATAATGCCTTGATGTGTATTCTGTTACAATTTCTGGTTTATTAAAATAACACATAAAGTTTTAGTGACTCAAAAACAGCACCATGAGACATGTTTAATAAACATGTATCAGCATCATCCTTTTCTCCATTTTTAATCTTACGTAGATTTAGCTTCCTGATATCGCAAAACCTAATTTGTGTGTCAGCAGTTTTGCCTTTTATGTCTACACATGTGATTGAAAGTTAGAAATTAGCAACTTAGTGTATATTTGGGAATAAATTGGAAAACATCCATTTGTTCGAAGTAGAATCTTGTTTGATTTTTTTACAGCCTCTCATTACACTTAATAAAGTTGTTAGATTTGTATCATAATAATATACTTAAGAAAACAGTCTTCACATCTTTGGTATTAATGTATTGCCTGTTTTGTGGGCTCCTCAGTTCTGAAGTAAAAGGGCTACTTTTTAGATAAAGACATTATTCCTCCTTCCTAGTAGAAAAAAATGCAAATTTTTCCTATAAAGTTTTGCCTTTTAAAAAAAAGTCGTACTCAAATGTTTTTCATGTCTTTGAACTGTTTCTTCATAGAGCAAAGGTTGAGTTTTCAGTATTAAACAAACCATTGGTTTAATTCAAATCTTAAAATTATTGTGCATTTGTATGAGTCTGCAGTAACAATGGTAAAACCTGGTGGCTGTTTTGATCAACATTTACTGAAATCTTTTATATATCAGTTCGAGCATCAGACAAACGGATAGCTTGTGATGAAGAATTCTCAGATTCTGAAGATGAAGGGGAAGGAGGTCGTAGAAATGTGGCTGATCACAAAAAAGGAGCAAAGAAAGCAAGGATTGAAGAAGATAAGAAGGAGACAGAGGACAAAAAAGCAGGTCAGATTTACTTGTAAAGTTTTAATTATGTCTAAAATTTGAGAGCTATGCTGTAATCTTTATGAAAGTTAATTGCACATGTGTCAGGAGTGGATATGCTTTAGTAAATAACATTTTCCCCCCATGTAGGTGGTGTTTAGCTCGCTAAAACACCTTTTTGCTTAAAGCTTTCTAAATATACGCCTACTTGCTTTTATAATACAGGATACTTTCTTTCCTTCTCTTAATGCCATAGACTGAAATTAGTGAATGCTATACTCTTATATAGATTGAGTAAGAGAAAAAGACAGTGGTTATAAATCCTGAACAGAGCTGAAATTCAAAGATAATTTTTAACTAAATAAAATTAATTTAATGGAAACAATAAAAGATGAAGGTCAAAATCAGACTGTTCAGAAACTGAAGAAAACATAAACTCTGAGAAAAGATAGGAAGGAGGTTGGTAGGTGGGCTATGGAAGAGCTGATTACTTTTGATGACTTCACATACATCCAAGTGCAGTTGGCTCTAGGCAATTTGCAACCAGAAATGTATTTGTGTGAGTTCCAGTAGACTTTATGTACCTATGTCATTTTATTTTACCCAACACATCATATTATAGTACCTCCTTAGAGGATTTCATATGTCTCAGTGCTATATTGAGCTGCTCACAGGTAGGGAACATATATTACTTTAAATATCT